TGTTTTGTGTGTTCACTGATAAGTTTCAATTTATAATATTTCTGACATTTACCTGTATGATAAGTTTTTTGATTTAAGAATTACAATTTGGTATCTTTGAAATTTTCACTACCTCAATAATCAGTGTCTGATAAAATCGCTTATACAATCATCTGTAATAGGATGGGATTAACAAAGTTGAAAGAACTTGCATCCAGTTCTCCTGTATAAATTAGACAATAAAATATATTAAGAAACAGCTGCAATATCTCAGTCCCTGGTGCAATACTCACTAATCATTGGCTGGTACAATCATTTAAAAACTGACTAAATAAGATCTATAACCTACGGAAGCCTGTTGAGGCCAGTTTATAGAAAAAATATTTTCTATTGCGTTTATACGCAAAACATTACGTTTAATCGCAATAATCATAGCCTTCAAAGGCAAAAGACTGCGTCAAACTGCAATGTATATTGCGTTTAAACGCAAAACACTTTGCTTTTAATTGCAAAAGATTGCAATTAAACGCAATCTTTTGCGTTTAAACGCAATAATTTTACGATTTAAATGCCAAAATATTTTTGCATTTAAATGCAATAATTTTGCGTTTAAATGCAATATTTTTGCGTGTAAGCGCAATAATCTTTGCGTTTAAACGCAATATTTCTCCCTTTTAAGGATTCGTTTTGCATTTAAACGCAATGATACTGTAGTTTCAAAATCAGACATCAATAAGCCAAAGCATAAAATTACTAGGATCAGACACTTCAAAGAAATGTTTGGTTCTGTGTCTTTTTGAAAAATTTTCATAAGTAAAACAATGGCATCCTTACAACCAGAATGTCTTAACCCAACACTTTTAATGAAGCCTTTGATCAATTACTTACCTATCACAACTAATTAAGAACGTTTCAGTGGTATTAATAGCACTTGTCAATTTGGTAGTATACATTGATCAGTCTGTTTTCATTTGATTTTGATCTCATCTGATTCCATCGCCTATGTTCTTGTGTTTATTGTGTGAAACAATTGGATAGGTTGTAAATGTACATTTTAGTCTAAATACTTCAACATATTGTAGGTAATTCCAACATTTCACCATTCGTTTCCCGAATCCCTTTGTACAACCATTTTTTTTTTTTTTTTTTTTTTTTTTGCTTCTTAAGTCTTTTGTTTAGAAGATCTACTCTAATTGTTCGCAAAAATTGTTGCAAAGTAGAAAAAATAACAAAATAGAAAATGTGATTTGTGATTGTAAGCAACTAACCAAATCTTAATTAAGAAAATAGAGATCTAATAAGCTTAAGATATGTCTCGTTCTTAGGTTGCCTTTGGTTTTATAACTATACATTTTTCCCCTCTTTAAATTTAAATCAGTAAATTATCCTTTCAGAGAGCTTTTGTGCAGAGGAATCTGATTCTATAAAGCTAGACAATAAACAATTTTCTAAAAAGTAAGAAAGAGAAAGAAATGAAAGATATCAGTATGCGTGGGCCCATTGTACTCTGCAAGGTTTGATACAAATGATTGCATTTAAACACAAAGATTATTGAGTTTAAACTCAAAATTATTGCGTTTAAATGAAATATTATTGCATTTAAACGCAAAGATTATTGCTTTTAAACGCAAAAATTATAACGTTAAACGCAAAACACTTTAATCAAAATTATTGCGCTAAAACGCAAAAAATGCGTTTAATCGCTATCTTTGTGAATAAACACAAAGTGTTTTGCGTTTAAACGCAATATACATTGCGATTAAACGCAATCTTTTGCATTTAAACGCAGTATTTTGCGTTTAAACGCAATCATTATTGCGTTTAAATGTAATGAAAAATATTTCTTTCTTTGAACTGGCCTCAATGGGCTTCTGTTATAATCAGAGTTTGCTAAAATTATTGAACGTTGAATTAATGTTATATTTGATTTTTTAAAGAAAAGAATGAAGATGATGTTATGGGTCGCCATTAGCCGAGAGTTAAGCTGAAAATTGGAATCACGTTCTTGCAATTATATTAAACATCTGCAAAGTAAGCTTAACTATCTATTTGAATACATTTATTGCCCTGTGACAATTATCATTCAGATATAACCTTGAATAAAATATCACTCATACTTATCAACATGTTCAATACTCAATATAGTCTTTAACGCTTAATTGCCCAAAACCTTTGGAACCTGAGGTATGATTCATATTCATCTCTATGTCATGTCACACTATTGGTCATGAGCAAGACCATATTCACGGTTGAATCCACTTATATCAAGGACTCCATAGTTCCTTGTATAACCTGGAAAAGGTTCCAATATCTCATTAGTAACCTTTGATGATTTGAATCAAGATAATGACCTCTTTGCCATCGGCAACGACATAATTTAAATGCATTCACACTTAGAGTTTCTAATTCAAAATTTTAGACACAAGTTTTAGGACAAACAGCGCAACGGGCAGTCAGTCAGAAACAGTGACATACCAATTAATCCCTGCTTGAAGGGCATTATATACTTGTCAAAAATATTAGTACACAGAATACAAGTAAATCTGAACCACAGTTCTTAACAATCAGAATGAAACGTCACAATAGTAATTTAGTCTAATTTAGTCCATGTATAAAAAATCTAAGATTGTATTTACCTAAGAATGTTATACTTCTATGTGAGAAGATTTACAATCTGCTTGAAATTTATCTTCATTCAATACATACATGTACACGTATTACACATCCCCCTAGATATTATAACTTGATTAATACAAATGAAATTGTGACAAATGTTCAAAAATTCCATTCTTACAAAGAAATAATTTACGAAAAGATTTTGTTTCTTTGATTAAGAAATGATCATAGGGTATACTGCATGATATGTCTTTCTTCTGAAGTATTTTAATTTGATATCAGGCTTCAAAGATAACCTTCCCTACATCTGGGTTTGTGCGTCAATGAATCCGTAAAAAATAATTATCATTGATGAGTAGGCAGGAGTCCATTTGATATTTGGAAGTGTGTTGAACAATGTTCCCATTCAATCCTTTATTATTCGATTTCATATTCATGGCTATAAAATATATCTAACAAATAGGATGTAGTGATTTGCAAGTTCTATAAATAGATGAGAAGACAATTCTTATATTTTATCAACTTGATTTGATTATTCTATTCTATTATACTATACCAGACGATGTACCAAATATAAAAAAAAACCTTGACACTTTGTCAGAATGGATTAAATGTATCAGATGGATGTTGAAATCGCGTATTAAGCGATTGACGGGCAATATGAAAACCATCTATCCTTCTGTCTTCGACAATGCAGAAGTGAATCAAGAATCATATAGATTACACGATCAGTATGTACTGGTCCCCGCTGACAAAGCAGGTAACAACATTGTCTTAGTTTGTAAGGCTCATTATTTGAATTGTATTTTAGAAGTACTACGATTTAATTCTGCTAGTGGTATTCCAACTTAAACCCAAAGCTCCCTTTCTATAGAGGGAATTCTTTAAAACCATATATCAGTTTTAAATATTTTTATTATTCCCAACAATCAAAATGAATTTGACTTACCATACCTATACTGCATTTCAAAACTCCATAAAATTCCTTAAAAACAAAAATACATAGCGGGTTCCAGTAACTGTTCTACCAAGCCTTTTTCTTTATTCCTCACCAAAATATTTACAGCAGTGAAGGAGAAACTTCAGGACTACTGTACAACAGTATATTCGAGAAGTGGTGTAAATCAGATGCAGGTATTTAAAAAGTACAAGGAACTTTTAGAAAATTTGAAATCATGAAAGATTTCCAAAATCAATAACATCAAAACGTACGACTTTAACACTTTATACAACCATTTCCCACGATAAATTAAAATCCAGGAGCTTTTGACATCAAAGACAGCTGCTTTTTCAATAAAAATGGAACTCGTAAATATACTTACCTTGGTCATTTGCAAAATTATTTTGTTAAAACAAGATTCTGATTGTACACACAAGTACTCTGAAGTTGATATTAAAAAGATGCTTGAGTTTTTGATTTATAATGTCTATGTAATTTTTGGAGATCAGGTCTTTCAACAATCTGTTGGAATTCCCATGGGTACCAGTTGCACCCCCTTGTTAGCAGACCTATTTTTGTATTCATATGAAGCAGAATTTATTCAAAAACATGTACACAAGAAGAGAAAAACACCTGCTGTGGCCTTCAATTCGACATAAAGAAATATCGACGACGTATTATCAATTAACAATAGTTACATCCATTCTTATGTGGACTCGATATATCTCAGTGAGCTTGAACTAAAAGATACTACAGAGTCTGACACATCTGTTTCATATTTGGATATTTTACTAGAAAAAGACTTTAATGGTAACTTAACAACAAAGCTTCATAATAAACGTGATGACTTCAATTTTTCAATAGTCAATTTCCCTCATCTATGTAGCAATATACCATTATCACCTCAATATGGGTTTTTTTGTTGAATGACATTTTTCATACTAATTGTTAGGCCATTATTCACTCACTGAACTGTCAACGGATTTTTCGTTTTTTCCAGTTGATGACAAGGAGCAAACGGCGGGTGCGACCGCTTGGTAGGGGATGTTCACTCCTCCATTGCACTTGATCCCACCTCTAATGTTTTTGGAGGTCCGTGTTTGCTCTGCTCCTGATTTGTATAGTTTAAAGGACTTTGAGCTTGGATAATGTTCGTTATCGCCATATTTCATACTACAATCAATTCTCTATTTCCCTTGCGCCCTAAAACACCTCAGATAATAAGACACATATATAAAATGAACAATAATGTATGATTTATTATAGCAGACTTGGTGCATTGCATGCACACATCCACTCTCACTCTCCCACTCACACACATCCTCACCCCCCATATATATATATATATATATATATATATATATATATATATATATATATATATATATATATATATATATATATATATATATATATATATATATATATATATATATATATGAAATCATTCATTTTTTGTGTTTAATATACATGTATTAAATGAGTACATATAGAATATATGCTAAAAACTGTCAATTAGGTCTAATAATAAAAGATCGTTGATTTACGAGTTATTCATTAATGATCAATCTTATACCTTTAGGAAGAACAAAATAAGAAGAAAAATATTGATGGGAAAAGTGATTTTAAAAAAGCCCCATAAAAAACATGATTATTAACTTATTTTGAACAGACATGACTACAGGTGATTAAATACTGATATCAGTCTATAGATAAGATGATGATGGACACGTATTGGGCACACATTTCTCCTTTGTAAACTTCTTATACAGCCTTAGACTCTGATTTTCCCTTACATAAGATAATGGCGCACACAAAAGCCAAAATCTGAAAAAAAAGAAAGAAACGTAAGCAATATAGTACATGGATAAGATTCATGTCTAGATAGCGTCTGTTTAAGGGTTTGCTGTCTTTGTCCCTCTTGTCTATTATTAGTTAAGTGTTATATCAGTAAAGATCTTTCCTGATTATTTTTTTTTATTAACTGTGTATCATTTTACCTCGATTACTATGACAACAGCTGACACCCCAATGGCAGGCCTTGAGTATTTCTGAATAAATTCTTGAAGTCTATCATAACAACCCTTTGAAAAATAAAAGAGAAAGAAACTGAATCTAAATCATAAGAAATCAATAAAAAAAAAAACTGAGTTGTTTTCATTACTATATACAACAATTCATAAAAATTTTCCAAATAAATTTAAAATCCTTTCTTAATTCAGTTTATATCGTTTTAATTTGCCTTTGATAAGCCTAAATCCCTCTTCATATGATAGCAAAAATGTGAATGGGTTGTTCGGTAAAATCGTAGAAAAGTTGTCAAGAGTTAAAAACAAACAAGACTGTTTTCTAAAATTTTCCCTACTCTTCAGTACATGTTTTACATGTTTCCATGTTTTTACAACCGAATTTCAAATTGATATATGCTCCAATAAACAAAATATGGGATTTAAAGTTATGTGTGGTATCGCCTTACCTCTGCATCGATGATAACGTCAAATGTCAAAAGCAATGTTACGTTTAATCTTTTTCATCTTTAAAAAAGTTGGATAAACCCCATTTAAATTCTGGGAATTTCATTGGTTTACACACTTCTGTTCCCTTTTCTTCCTTCATAAACAGTCCAGGGACCAATCTTGCACACATGGGACTTTTTGAAGATTTGTTTTAGTAAGTTATGGAAGGTACTCTCACTTTCATAGAAATACATAGACAGTTTTTTTCAAATGCTGGGGAAATCGCCAAATTTTAAAGTAATGCCTTGAAATATTCCAAATAGCTACATAATAGATGGTGAATTAAAATATGATATTTTTTACCCAGCCCTTATCTATTTTATACTTTTATTTCGAATCAATACTCGCATATTCCCTGAAACAACCCTGAATTTTTGGCCGTGTGCCGTAGGACCATTTCCTGTGAACATTCAAGTATAATAAAATCCTTATTTTTGCCTGTAATTTATCAAAAATATAACAAGAGGCCCAAGGGCCTTAACGGTCACCTGAGTATAATACAACAATTTAGAGGATCCATAGAGTATAAAATGAACTGAAAGGTGAAGCTTTGTTGCCCAAAAGCAAGAAAAATAGGGTGATCAGGATCAACAAAATAATTAGTCCAGTATTCATTAACAGTTCATAAATTAGGTTCTAATCTGTTCCCCATTTATCACTATCACCATACAGTATACTAAGCAAACTACCAGTGCTTCTGTACTATTTTAATTCCTTGCTGAAATCTCTTACATAGGCCTCTCTTGGTCTTTGATGAACATTTAATAAGACAAGTTATTTTTGTCTCATTTTTATTTATCTATTACTTACAAGTCCACCTGATCATTAAAACTATGAAAATACTTTTTGTATTATACAATAAAAATTCTTGCATAATTATCTTATTCTATTAACCTTTCAAGTACATTATTTACAGTGATTAATTATCAGAAGTAAACAGCAAAGGGGAATAACCCCTCTCAGTAGAATACAAATTAATAGAGCCCTGGCCAGGACCAGAACTCTTGACCAAATGGTCCAGATGTTCAAAAATCTGGTAAAAATACCCTTCCTTATCAAAACTTTTACTCTTTTTGCCTCTGATATGCCCAATGGCAGAGAAAATTTTTAAAGAAATAATGCATTTTTACTGCAGATTCACTATATTATCAATAAAGCCCCCCTCCCCACCGAGAAACACCAGATCCTCTCACCCTGGGACCAGAGGTTTGCTCATCATAAGTAATCACATTGTTTATCTACTTACTAAGGAGCAGACAGGATTATTTAATAGAATTACTGCATTTTCACTATATTATCAAGAGTCCCCCCCCCCACCTTTTCACCAGAACCCTTTACCCTGGGGCCATGAAATTCATAGTTTTGGAAGAGGCATCCTTGACTTCATAACAATGTACTTAGTTTGTTTAAATAGTACCCAGGGGCAGAGAAGAAGATTTTCAAAGAAATAATTCACCTTCACTATAGGAGCTATATAGCCCCACCATAGCATCAGAACCCCTGTCCCTGGGGACATGAATTTCACAATTTTGGAAAAGGCATCCTTGCTTATCATAACAATGTACTTAGTTTGTTTAAATAATACCCAGGAGCAGAGAAGAAGATTTTTAAAACATTAATGCATTTTCACAAATAGAGCCCCGCCCTAACATCAGAACCCCTGATCCAGAGGCCATGAAACTGACAATTTGGTAGAGTCACTTTTGCTTATCATAACTATGTATTTAATTTGTTTCAATAATACCCAGGAGTAGAGAAGAAGATTTTCAAAGAAATAATGCACTTTCACTATATGATCTATATAGCCCTGCCCTAGCACCAGAACCCCAACCGTGGGGCAATGAATTTCACAATTTTGGTAGAGTCACTCTTGCTCATCATAACTATGCATTTAATTTGTTTCAATAATATCCAGGAGTAGAGAAGAAGATTTCCAAAGAATTAATGCACTTTCACTATATGATTTATATAGCCCCCCCCCCCCAGCACCTGAACCTCTTACCCTGGGGCTATGAATTTCACAATTTTGATAGAGTCACTCTTGCTTATCATAACTATGTATTCAATTTGCTTAAATTATACCCAGGAGTAGAGAAGAAGATTTTCAAAGAAATAATGCACTTTCACTATATGATCTATATAGCCCCGCCCTAGCACCAGAACCCCTGACCCTGGGGCCATGAAATTCACAATTTTGATAGAGTCACTCTTGCTTGTCATAACTATTTTTCAATTTGTTTCAATAATATCCAGGAGTAGAGAAGAAGATTTTCAAAGAAATAATGCACTTTCACTATATGATCTTTATAGCCTCACCCTAGCACCAGAACCCCTGACCCTGGGGCCATGAATTTCATAATTTTGGTAGAGTCACCCTTGCTTATCATAACTATGTATTCAATTTGTTTCAATAATACCCAGGAGTAGAGAAGAAGATTTTCAAAGAAATAATGCACTTTCACTATATGATCTATATAGCCCCACCATAGCACCAGAACCCCTGGCCCTGGGGTCATGAATTTCACAATTTTGGTAGAGGGCTCAATACTTATTACAGTCATGTCAACAGTTTGACTGCTTGATGTCCTGGAGTAAAGAAGAAGATTTTTAAGGATTGCATTAATTTTGGTGGTTTTAGCCCCACCCCTCAGGCCTCAGGGGGGCAGGGACCATGAAATTCACAATTTTTGTTCCCCTTCACCCATAGATGCTATATGCCAAATTTGGTTGAAATTGGTTCAGCGGTTTCAGAGAAGAAGCTGAAAATGTTCAAATGTTAACACACGACGCACAACGCACGATGGACGACGCACGACGACGGACGAAGACAGATAGCAATAGGTCACCTGAGTGACTCAGGTGACCTAAAAATGTACTTAAATTTGAAAAATATACATTTGCTAAAAATTTCAGCTTAGTGCGCGCATTATTTTCGATGAAAACGCGATGTCAACGATTTTACCGGACAGCCCTTTTTATGTCTCATTATTATACCCCCCCCCCCCCCGCTTGAAAATATAATATAGGTATAAAGTGATGAGGGCGTCCGTCCTTTCGTACTTCTATCCGTATTTAGTAACACTTAGAGGCACTCATCTCATCTGCAACTCCGTACTGGATAAAATTTAATGAGACTTCCATAGAATCTTTTACATACTGTCATTTTGACCTCCTATTTAATTTTTCGATGGGACAAATAAATATGGTTACTTGTAGAAAAATATGGATACTGCCGTTCTTTCTATAACTCTTTTCCGCAACTCCTCCTATACCACTTGATGAATTTTAATAAGGATTCCATAGAATCTTTATTACATAATGCCATTGTGTACCTTTTATTTTGTATTCTGATCGGACAGATATTTTAGGTTTCCCATGACAAAATATTGACTTTATCATTATACTCATATTGGAGCAGGGGTATCATTTTGTGAGCTGTGGTGACAATACCTCTAGTTAAACATATATTTACTAATGACATTTATATAGGAACGAATAAATACAACTTAATATTGCCATTTCAAAGAAAAGTTATCTATTAAAATAGGTCATTAAGGACTGGTTAGTGTGTGGTTCGTTCTCTTCTACCATGGGGGAAATTATACAAACCTTCGTCTTATAATTTCCAGATACATCGGAGTAGCAGCTAGCGGTTGCATTTGATTCAAAATTAGATTCATCCACTCCAATGCAGCAAGCCTTCGGTATCTGTGCATTATTCATATAACATTCACCTTTTTGCTTACACCAGGGAGTTTCGTCAAAGTCGTTGTTTGGTCCTCTAACAGGATTCACTCCGCAACAATCATACTAATTAAAACACAAATTACACGCATATAACCTGCATGATGCTCTATTTCCTATATATTTCATATATATGTGCCCTATATATTTCCCCCTCTGTTTTGTATATGTACCTCTGACCAGTTTTGTTTATAATGTATACATGTTATTAATATACCCCTGTACCAATATTTTAGTTTGGGTGAATAAACTGAACTTGAACTTGATCCCTACACAATCATACTATTTTAAACACAAATTAAACGCATATACAATCATACTAATTAAAACACAAATTACACGCATATAGCTTGTATGATACTCTCTACACAATTAACGAAAGGCACACACTATCAGATACTAGTAATGTAATTGTTTTCAGTATTGTTATATATGATTCAACTGATTATCTCTGTGTGTTGACAATTTCTTTTCAGGACCACTGAGTGTAATGCTAATTAAAATCTAGTCATCGTCTAGCAGCTGGTCTTGGTTAAAATCATTTGATGTAAGACCACCCATAAACAGACCGTATATAATGAATTAAGGTTCATCAACTCTCTGTTCAAGTAAAATTTTGCTTAAACATTAATGACTTTCCAAAGGAAATCCATATTAAAATTAAAATGCATACCATTTAAGCATACCTTGTGAGGCAAAATTTGACAGGAATGACCTTGGAACTTCATAATTCTATAAAGGAATAATAGCCATTTATCCCAGTTAGAGTTATCTCTCTTATCAGAGGGGCGATGAACCTTAATTGATTCTTAAAATGTAAATCCCACCCACATTACGATTTGGAAAAAAAAAATAAGTCATCAGATTTCCAGAGTATCCAATGTAAAACTTTTGAAATGACATCCATGTGCCTTTCATATTACAAACAACACACAACCGTTCTTTTGTCGTACTGTAATAAGGATAAATATTCATTCTACCTTTAAAAATATGTAATTCCATCCATTGGAAAATGCGTTGGAAGTGTTGAAAGAATCATCTATAAATTTTTTTTGTAGCTCTCTGAGCATGGCACCCTTGATTTTATCATTGAACTGAAATTAAAAAAAGAAAATTAATGTGTCAGCTTTCATTACAATTGCATGCAGAGCAGAAAAAGTATTTTTTAGATAACTATTCATTCCCAATGTTATAACGAGCCTTACAAATAGATACTATTCTGTTACCTGCTTTGTCACCTGTACATATTGATCATGTAATCTACCTAATTCCTGAGTCACTTCTTAATTACTGAATACAGAAAGATAAACCTTTCTCAGATTGTGTCTTCATTTGACAATAAATTTTAACACACACCCCTCGAACTTTTTTCTCTTCTGACAAAGTATTAGGCCTTTTCTTTCATATCTAACAAAACTTCTTGCAAAATCTTGTTCTTGTAGAGTTTTTTTTTATTTTGTAATTAAAAAGTTTGGAAGTAATCATAGAAAATAAATTGTAAGAAATACAACTTGCAGACTTCAACTTGATATATGGTGAAATGAAATATATGGAGATGACGAACAGTATTCAAGCTCAAAAGTCCATTCAAACAATACAAATCAGGAGCAGGGCAAACACGGACCTCTAAAACATCAGAGGTGGGATCAGGTGCCATGGAGGAATGAGCATCCCCTGCCGACCGGTCACACCCGCCGTTTGGACGTTGTCATGATCGGGATATAACGGGAAAATCCGACATTTCAGTGTGTAAATAATTGCCTAACAATAAGGAAGAAAAATGCCAGTCAGCCTTTGACTTATAATGATAGATTGTATTTGCTGACAAAGTTATTGTCTCGACCATAGAACGTACGAAATGATGTGAAATACAACTTTAAATTAGTACTGTTAGTATTTCATTACAATAAATTCATGATCAATCTGAAATTAAAGAATTTATTAATAGAAATTCTGTTGGAAAGGAGGTTCTTTTAAATAATATTTTTCTTTTGACCCCAATTCAAAACAATACGATCAAATTTTTAATCATATTCCAAAAGATAAATTGGCGACTGCATAAAATGTAACAAAAGTTCTTCGAGGCAGGTTTTACGACCCCCTGTGGCTCCCAGAGTGAATATTGGAAAAATTACAACTTTTTGCTCATCTACAGGACATCACCAATCATTCAAAAAGAATGCAATTTTGGTAGGAAAAAACAGAAAATTAAACCCCCACGAAAATTAGTGATTTCACAGTATTCAGCATACTACCAATCGTCACCTGCTTTAGCATCAGTAAAGACATAAATATATTCTAAGACTGGCCAACTAATTATTGCATAGTTCGTGCCTTTGCCTGCAAAGAAAAAAAAACAATCACGGATAGTAAGACTATGATGGAATAGTATTTATCATAAAGTGTGAAAAATAAATAGAAATATGATTCCTCAACCCTCAAAGCTAAAATGAATAATGAAATTAAAATTATTAGAAGTTTATTCATACACGTTTCCCTCAGACTCGTAACAAGAGAGATTTAAGTTTGTCTTAACTGCAATTTTTAGTCTATAACTTTATATAAAGTGCGATCCATTTTGGAATACTTATGCCGTTTTATTTTCATAGAATTTAAATTTCAGTTTGAGTAGTAATTGTATGTCATACACTTTAAAACTACAGTCATGAGGTCATAAATATGTATTTTGTATGCCAGTTATCGAAGTCTTGCCTCTCAAAATTCAAACGACATCAGTCAACCATTTAGAATACTTTTGAAAAGTAGGTCAAAAGACAAGGTCAAGTCGACTGTAATGCTGGTATTTCTTCATAATGTCTTATGACAAATTGTGCACATGCCAAATCGCACAGACTCTTCTCTCAAATGTCCAAAATATGCTCTATATCGGCACTATAAGCTATTTCGAAAAATAGGTCAAAGCTCAAGTTCAAAGTCACGAGGTCATTAACAATGATATTTTACAGAAGCCATAGTGCGAATCACTATAGAGCATAATATCAATTCTTTACCTTTAACAGTTTTCAAGATATACATGTAATGTCTGACAGACGGACAGACAGACAGAAGCCTGGTAAAATGATCTCTTAAGTGTCTTTCTCTGCAGGTGACACAAAAAAGAACTGGCTACTGCATAACTGTAAGGAGTTTGAGAGAGAAATTAGGGTTTCGAGTCCCAAAATGAAAATTCAAAAGTCTTATTGCAAATTCATAGGGCATCATCAATCATATCCCAAAAGACAAATTGGCTTTTGTTGAAAATGTTTGAGGAGTTTTAGGAGGAAAACAGTGTGGCAAACTCAGACTACGGACGGACTTTCTTTAGAAAGTACCGGTATAAGAATATATTCACATATATAAAATATTGTGAAAAAGGGACGTGAGAAAGTTCATTCCGTGCACATCCTCGGTCAATCGTCTTACATTACTTACCATTGACATTTTAGATAAGAATACAACGGTTGTTGTCTCCATGATCACCAATATAAGCAACAGGATGGCGTACTGAAAAGTCATTGAAATGGTACAATGAAAATAAGGAAAGTATTACAAGTTCTACATCTATTTAAAAGAATGATATAAATTGACTTTTCCTGCTATAAACAGATATATGTAACAGTACTGTGTATTATTTGTTTTTTATTTCTCGATAACCCCCCCCCCCCCCCCATCCCTCATTGTCTTGTTGAAATATTGAAAGTTTTCAGTTTAACAAAACTATTTGAGAGAGATGTTTATTATATTTTTTAAACCCAGCACCATTTACTAACAAATCGAATGAAGCTTACCCCAATTAACATAAATTTGTTCTCACAGCATGCTCCAAATAGTCCTAAACCTGCTACCAAAGCCACAAAGATGCCAATAATGATCACCAAGATGGAGATGCTGTTCAAAAGATCGCCAAAATTATTTCCCACCACTTGAACTTTGTTTAAAGTGGGTAAAACCTCTTCAAAAACTGCATTTATGTTAACTAAAGCTCCTGTTGCCAATAATCCTAAACCAAGTAACTGCAAGTAAAACATTATCATATTTATCAATCTTTCAAATTGTCGTGATTGTAATTATTAACATTTCTTACTAGAAACGAGCGGACCTTAAATCCATAACAGATTTTTTTCCCTAAGAAATTGTGCTCTAAAAATAACACATGCCAGCGTAGCTGATTAAATTAAGGTAGTCCAATCCTCAGGTTCTGAAAATCAGGCATTGAATAATTGAAAATGCTCACAAATATGTCTCTGAATTCTCCAAGTAATGTGAATATACCCATGGTAGTTGTTCAAACTTCATCATTAAAGTTAATCATATTATATAGGAAAAATTAGTAAATTTCAAATAAATTTTCAGGAAATGCGAAAAAGACATCTACTATGCATTTTCTAATTGGAAATTGATCAACAAAAACATTTTAGGATAAAAAAAACTATAGGTATCCAGGCATTTGAAGAAAATTGCATGATTTTTATACTTATACAGTACTTTAGTTTCTTCTATGTACTTCAATTATTTTATAATGCATAGTCTATAAAGTGTTTCCTATCATTGCAAAATACCATAAATCATTCCTAATTTCATAGCATGCTAATTAGCATTGGTATCTAAGGCTAAATTAAAAGAAAAGTTGATTTCTTTAAATCTGTATTTTAACATACCTGTATAGGGTAAATATATCAGCGTTTTAAAAGACTGTTTCTAAAGCTTAAAAAAAACAACCTTGAATCACATTGAAATGCATAAAATGAAAATTGTTGCATGAAAAGATTTCATATTCAAGCTTCATATTGACAAACAAGCTGACGAAACAAGGATATCAACAGTCTCGTTTCAAGTAATCTTTTCGCATGTTTTTCGGTCGATACAATGACCTTGTCAGTACATACAACCTGTCATTGAGTCAAATGCTGACTGACGTTTTTCATATTAATTGTTAGACCATTATTTATACACTGAACTGTCTACGGATATTTCGGGGGGGTTTTCCCGATCATGACAAGGAGCACTCGGCAGGTGTGACCGGTCAGCAGGGAATGCTCACTCCTCCATGGGACCTGATCCCACCTCTACATTTTGTGGTCCGTGTTTGCCCTGCTCCAAATTCGCATCGTTTCATTGGACTTTCGAGATCGAATACTGTTCGTTATCTTCATATTTCATTTGAGAGTTTTTGAATTAAATAATAAATAAAAGAGTTATCCTTCCTGGCTGAGGATCAGATATCCTTAAGCCTCTGTACTAATATGACAATAAAACGAACAATTATGATTAATTAATTAACTAATTAGCCTTTTCAGTGAATGTTATTTTTTTAATTGGAATACAACTACCCAAACGGCAGTGCTCATTTCCATCTCGGTTTCCTGTCAATCATATCTAAATGCACACAAATTTACTTACCAATAGTGTGTCAACAGATATATTTCTATGCTAGGTACAAAGAACGGTAAATCGTGAAAAAGTACAATGTGTTCCCCTAAAATTTTGAATTACATGTCACCCTCTTCCTAAAAACTCTTTTAAAGATACATAAAAAGCAGAAAAATTGTTGCATTGAATAACATATATTCTTTGATTAATTTTGAATAGAATTGACATAAATAATAAATCCCAAAAAGATGAAGAAATGGCAAGTTTTCATTGGTGCTGCAATATTCGATTTTGTGCCGTTTTCTGTGTAAATCCATACGCAGTTTCAAACATTTTAACAATATTACAAAATTTTCAAACATACCCTGGCAAACACTATTCAGATTACCTTTATGAACATAAATCTATGAAATATACCAATTATTTCTGAAAAAAGAGTTTGTGTTACTTATAATCATCATTAACAGAAAAGCAATCATCGTCGAATACCCATGGGTGATCTTGCCTCTTACTCATCACCCGTGGGTAAACTCGCCGAAATATCGTCATATGTAATTAATATGAGCGGGACATTTGATTGGCTGCTGCACAGATTCGCGATGGCAAATTAACGAATCACAGTTACGTATGTATGTTCGGCAATGACAGAAACTTTTCAATCTTACACGTTGGCAATCATTCAGGACCTGTCGCCCGCGTGGCGCAGTGGTTAGAGCATCTACTCTAGAGTCGCGGAGTAAGGAGTTGATCCTTACGTCGCGGGTTCGAATCCACTGCGGGACGTGGAGATCGGTCCTTCGGATGAGACCGTATAAACCGACGTCCCGTGCCGCAGTAGGTGCTGGCACGAAAAAGATCCCTCACTGCTCAATGGCCCTGAGTGCCGGGCATAGGTCAAAACTTGTAGCCCTCCACCGGAAAGTGGTGGCGTCTCCGTATGAGTGAAATATTCTCGAGAGGGACGTTAAACAACAAACAATCAATCAATCAACATTCAGGATCTTACAGGCTCTGAATAACGGTAGATGTACATGTATTTTGAAGATTTTGGGTAGACCTTTTTCCTCTTAATCCGGTCCTCCTTGTGTTGGTAACCCTTTTTTGAACTCACCTATGTACAATGTACATGTACTTTAAATTGAAACTAGTTTTGAATGAATGATTGTTTTCATGCTTTATTCTTTCCTTTTTAATGTCGATATCTCTTTTAAATCCATTTTATCGAATGAAATTCAATGTACAAATATTAATGCATAACAATTTATATTTTTAAAACTTTCGTTGCGGCATCAGATTTTCAAAACAACGAATGAAATATGTCAGTCATAATACGACCCAGTGATAGGTTGTATTTGCTAACAAGGTCATTATAACGACCATAGAATTTACTAAATGCTGACTTTAAACGAGGTCGTTTAAATCCCTGTAAATTCTACTTATCTATCAGTAGTCTGCTTCAGTTTACAAATTGATCGTACTCAGAGCACGCTCTTAATTATCGAAAAAGTTGGGAATCGAATGCAGATGATTGCGGAATATTACTGTATAGACAAGGAAAGTTGACGGCGGAAAAGCTGAAGTTATCTAGTTTGTCATACAATTTAGTTGTTAGTTGGCCCTCATCGTCTATAGTCAGTAAAACATCAGAATATGAAACAGATGTGGCAGGCTCTGTGGTGTGTTTATTTCGAGTCGACTTCATTGGTATTTATCGAGTCGAAATATATGAATGGAATTGATGAAATGTCCTTAATCTGAAAGCCAAACTGAAGGCCACTGTCTATTTGAATTCCAACAGATTGTTGGAAGACCTGGTCGCCAAAGCCTAAAACGAAGTTGTCTATTAGGAACTCTTGCATCCTTATTGGCGATAGATTTGGGACAAATGAATTCAAATGGAGAGATTTATTTTTTCAAATATAAATACATTTCTTAAGATTCAAACCTTAAATGGTATAACTATAAGATCATACACATATTGTACATGAATGAAATATATATAATACATATAGAGTACATGAAATATGAAGATATCGAACAGTCATCAAGCTCAAAAGTCCATTGACACCATTAGAGCAGAGCAAACAAGGACCTTTAAAAACATTAGAGGTGGGATCAGGTGCCATAGAGGAGTTAGCATCCCCTATCGACCGGTCACACCCACCGTGTTTTACTTGTCATAATCGGGCATACGGAAAAGTACGTAGACAAGTCAGTAATAAAAAGGCATAACAATTTGTACAAAAATGTCAGTCAACATTCGACTTAATGATAGATTGTATTTGTTGACGAGGTCATTGTCATGACCATAGAATTTGCGAAATGTTGCCTTAGGGGGAAGAAGGACCTTTAGCTGAAAAATTACTTGTCATTCAATTTTTTTTATATTTGTATATTTCTTCTTAAGTATGTCCCACATATATCATTAGGTTTCATACCTAATTTTAGAGATATTGATTGACAAATATTATGCCCTACAGTTTCTAAGTGGATTTTTAATCCTCCATGTTTCCGGGCTCATTACTCTGTCCATAATTGGATTTTTAAAGCATATATAAAAAATATGTAAGTGAACATGTATGTTTTAAAATATTTCAGAGTATGAATTGGGTTTAAAATTCGAAAAGGCAAGTTTCTTCTATCACACTGCATCTGGATAGGGAAAATACGAACTTTTTAAGACAACTTAAACAACAAAAACGTAATTTACAAAAAATCCTATCATTCAATATTTTTAAATTTACGTTGAAATGCAAGTCCTTCAAATTATTGATTAACTGTAAAAATTTCGAATGCTGAAGCTGACCTCAATATTTCACAGGACATCGTTAAAGACGACATAAGCAGGACAAAAACTTGTCATGTTTACATTTCTCGAGTACGGGAAAAACCAACTATGGTTGTACTGGTATGTCATATATATATATATATATATATATATATATATATATATATATATATATATATATATATATATATATATATATATATATATATATGTATGTATATATGTATATCGTTTAATGTCTTACAAATATTTATTTGTGTCATTAATGTTGACTTTAATACTAGTAGTTGGTTTCATAATTTTTTTAACTAGTTTAATTGAGAAAAAAGAGACATCACCAATCCTGACTTGTTGAGTACGAGACAAGAGACCAGATACTTCAGATTAGTCTCATGTTTTGTTAATCGAAAATTATTTAATTCCCATTTAATGCAACATAACATTTTAACCTTGAGTAATTGAGCTGATATACAATTTGTCATAGAATAGTCTAAATAGTAAAAAGGAAAGAGACTTTTAAGAGTGATATTTTCCCCATAATTAAGTATCTATGAACTGATTGGCCCCGTGGGTTCTATCTATTTGGTTCATTTTGTGACATACCAGTACAACCAGTACAACTTTTAACTCGAATATAATAATTTATAGATCCCAGATAATGGTTTCCAGTTTTATTTCCTGATCGGTTCAGAAGACATTAGAAGTAAAATTTGATTAAAGTTAATTACCTAATGTATGTAAATATTAAAGGTAAACGTCTCATCCTTCAACAAACAGCAATAATATTCACCCTGCTTAAAACAAACAAAGAAACAAACAAACTTTGTATATCATGCAAAATAAATATAATAAATAAAAAAGATACTCACAAAAAATAATATGTTGAGGGCAACTAAAAACCATTTCCCAAACTTTTCGCAGAAGTCACCCGCCATGATTTGTTTTAGCTTAACTGACACGACCGTTACTAAAATAAAGGATATCCGCAATTACTTATATACCCCTTTATTTTTGTGACATGATGTTTTTTTTTTTTTAATAAATGACTGTTATCCTCCATTCTTGAACCTCATGACTGGAATTCCCCTCATCTGTAAAAACATATTATGCAAGTTCACCTCATCATTGCGCTCTGACAATTAAACACTTAAATTGTGTTTTAAGTCCTCTTAATTTGTTCACTATGCGCGATGAGTTAGACTTTTTTAAAAAAAATCCTTGAATGAATGATATTCCTAAATTAGCTTTGGTGAAATTCTCTTACATTATCTTCATATCTTCATACTCACTCCTCGCGCTTTTGACAGGTAAAACAAGTTTATAATTGTAATGTCTTCATTACTCCTGATGTTACTAATGACGTTAAGAAAGTAGGACATTTTATCAAAACTTAAATATTTCTGAATTGATAGAAAAATTACCTACAAAACAACGTCCAGATAATAAAGTTATTGACTTCTATTTAGTCAATAAGATTATTCAAGCATCAATGTTCAATGATTGGGGAAGATGCGCTTTTTTGCAATGATTGAACATTTTCTATACAACGTAAAAAATTTTAAGTTGCTGGTAAGTTTTAAGAAAATTCTTTTGAATTGAAATATGAGTGAAAACAAAAACAACAGAAAGGGTAAACTTTTTAGCATAAAATTATTTAGAATGTAAAGGTTGAAGATAACAAACGGTGATCAATCTCATACAGCCAATAAACGATACAAATCTGTAACAGGGCAAAAACACGGACCCCGGAAATTCCAAAGGTAGGATCAGTCGCCTAGGAGTTGTAAGTACCCCCTGTCGACCAGTCACACCCACCGTGAGCCCTATGTATTGATCAGGTAGATAAGGTATTTTAAACAAAGTCCAAGCCTAAATTAGTACATGTAAATTCTTAACAATGTTAAAATAATTTAACCCCAATTAAAAGAAAAAAATGCTATGCATTGTACTTTTCTAACAATAAAAACTTCCATTGCAACCATGCAGGAAACTTAAGTTTCCAATGAGTCGAACAGGAATTGCTCGGTATGGCATGAGAGCGATAGCAAACTATACGGTCCTCCATACCCAAGCTTGCTGTTACATTGGTTCGAAAGAGAAGAGTTATAAACTCACTTTTGCCTCAAATATTACTTGATAAAGCATATGATATATCGTTCAAAATCTCCAACATAGTATAGTACACCTTCCTTTGTGTGTTTACAAGTATTTTAATGTGTGCTCATAAAATGTCTGAACAAACAAAAATTGTTTCCATTTCACTATTTATATTCAGGATTATTTTTGCTTAGATTTTAAGCATTTTCTTTTCATCATTTGCCATCTTTTGAATTGAAAACTATACAATAAATAAAAATGAACGCGATTCGTGAGTACGAGATGAAAGACCAGGGGCCCGTTTTACAAAACAACTTACGACTAAGACCAAATACTTCAGTTGTTTGGAAAATTTGGCAGAATTAATGATTTTGGTCAAAATTTCTAGCATAAGAATATCTTTCTGCATTCCTTTTAAAAAGAATAAAATCATTTTCAATTTAATGTAAATTAGAAAGTTATAAGCAGAATTAAATTTTGGTCTTAGTCGTAAGTTCTTTTGTAAAACGGGCCCCAGAAACTTAAATCAGTGATCAAAGGAATTATTCACTTCCTGTATAAAGCGCACAATTGCATTTTTCTCCTGCAAAATTGTTCTGATATACATGTAGGCATAGTTTTTTCATATATGTAGATAAGAGAATTCCGATGAAGGAATATCAAAAGTTATTATTCTGAATCCTCTCATGTTTTTTGTTAATATCTTATTACCACTCTCACCATGGCCTAGGACTGCTGAATAAGCAAAAGAATATTTTAAAGGCCGATATATTTATTATACCTTGTTCCCTTTTATATCACGTACATCTAATGCAAGAGTAATTCCTGTGCATTTTCATGCTTGTTTTAGGGCATAATTAAATAAAGATGCTTGCACTTTATTCGATCGTGAAGTGTACATGTTAATTTGTTAAAGGTATATGTTCATCTTCATGATAGACATTTACATCATTTTGACACATTCTAAAACAGGAAAAGCAATAAAGTGTTTATGCTACACACAAAAACACATAATTCTATATCATGTATATCAAACAAAAAATAGTAAAGGAAGTACTTACAAAGCTAACAATTTAGGCAATTAAGAAAACCTTCCTCAACTGTCCAGAACGGGCAACCACCATTTTTAGTTTAAATTCAGCTAACACTATCGTGGAAAACAAAAGTAGTGCTCAAATTGCAATTATATTTATCCCGTTGAATTATTTGTGGTTTTACCATCAAAACATATCAAAAAATCAAACTGAAAACTTTCTCCAAGATAGAGTTATAACTGTTGTAATACAATCTAGCTGACTTGGTCGACGGGACCAAGTAGAACATAATAACCTTTTTCCGGTTATAAATAAAAACTAGAGCAAAGCTCGTTGCTGGAGCAACAAATAGATCTTCCGTTGGAAGTGCGGACAGGAAATAGTGACTTTGAGACAAGGTCATGGCACATTCTAAGGTCATAAGCAATATTTGTTTGAGGTATCAACTTCCAATGTTTCACGGGTACCAGTAGATCGAGAGACTGTTAACGAATTTTACAGTTTCTCTGTCAGTGACCTTGAACGTGTCCAAATGACCTTACGTTAGGACCCTGACACACTTCAGTTAAGAGTTATTCCCTCCTGTAAGTTTCCTGTCGGACAAGTTCACCCATGTCCTTACTGACCATATATCAAGTCAAAACATTTTATCCTGCATGGTTGTATATAATTAATTAGTTTCAACTCATTGATTGAAATGACACTTCATCGAAAGACAGCTCATCGAAAAAATCATCAGTGCGACGACTCATAGAAAGGACAAGTCATAGAATGGACAAGTTATGGAATGGGCACGTCATGGATACGGCAAACTATCGACACTCAACGAAACTGATCGGAAAAAACACTTTTTAAAAAAATCCAATTCAAAGAGAGGGCATTTTATGAAATTTTAGTTATGTGATGTGAACAAGCCCTTTAAGGTATTTTACATAGTTTTCCTCTTAGCTAGACTCTTTCACCGAAAGTAGACATGATTAATTGCATAAATCTTATTTTTAAAAATGTCCCTTTTGCGTAGGCGATCAAGTACCAGATTGAAATGTTCATTGTAAATGTTTTATGTCCAGTTCGGATATTGAAAAATATCAGGGCCTTTAAGTTTCTGCGCTGGCCTTCACCTTTTTAGTCCTCATTTCAAAACAGAGTACAAGGTGAATGATGATACGCTGTCACATTCTATAAACCAAAAAATATTATTGTCTGACACCACGAGCATCAGACCATGTCATCAGACATGCAGACAGGTTAAAGATAAATTTTTCCATGGTTTAAAACTAAAGGTTCACATGCAGTTAGGCAGCTAAATTTTTGGCAAGCTGATTTACATTGGAATTTGTTACCTGCGTTTTAACAACAGTTAGCAGGAGAAACTGTCATATTACTGATGCAAAATATTGATGCGTTTACTTCCTATACTTTTTTGCATGCAACTGTTTATTCTACAGTGTATCCGTGTAACTTTTCTTCTATCCTTCTGGATCAGTCCATTTGTCTTCTAGGAAAGGGATCACACAATTATTTCGCGCCAAATGTCAGGAGTAAATCTTCACGCCTTTTTCTTGGATAATCTTATTGAATGGACAGGATTACTACATAGAATTAGATAAAAATTGTTTTCTACCTTTGGAAAAATAAGTAACATATATATCTGTGATGTTGGGAACGAAGATATAATATAGAAGTCATATCACATACTTTATAAAGATTTAAAATAATTTTAATAAAATGAAAGAGACAAAAACTTTTTAAAAGGAAGAACTGGCCAAATATTGATGATAATTCTGAAAGTGCCTTCTCCAACCCCCAACCCCGAAAGGAAATAGATTTTAGGTTCTTCAGGGGTTGAGGAAGTTGATATGGGTTTTTTTGTTTTGTTTTTTCGGTTAAAAATATTTCTGAGTCTGACATCTGTTGTTGTGAAACTCCCACCTCCCGGAAAACAAATTTCCGGATCCGCGCCTCTCGACATTCATGCAATAGTGATGCATGCGAAAAAAAAATTCTGCATGTCTATCATAACAATTCACATTTTCTTATAATTTTAGCTGTCTTTCGGCATTTCTGATATTTTATGTAGTTGAAACTAATGCATGCCACCACTTATTTAAAAAATGTTTTCCACATGCATGCACATGTAAAGACTGTACTTTACATTTGTTGTTTGAGCTACAAACAATAAATATATTTACATTAATTTTGTTCCCTTTCCATTATTCTGATGAGAAAAAAATGATGTCTCATACAATGCCTTCAAATTGTACGGTAATGAAATTAATAAAAAAATGGACGGAAACGTTTATAATGCTTATACATTCTATAGTTATTGATTGCATTATAGTCAGGCAAGCTTTTTGAAAAGCTTTTTGAAAAGCTATTACTTTTGTGTTCAAAGAATATGCGCGTTCTTTTTAAAAAAATGTCTATGAAGTTATGTATACATACAAATTCAATATACGACGTATTAAAATCGTTTATTTGTCCAGTTCAGATTTGCCATTCTTCCAGGTATCGATAAAACTTACGTTATCATGATTATGTCTAAAACTGTTTAAACAAGCGAATATTTTCTACGAGGTTACTTGCCAAATATTAATGTGTAATTTATCTTTATACATATAATGTCTTATTTAGCAGTTAGTGAATTTTAGAGTGTGACAAGTACTAATTTATAGCTAATTCTAATTAGGTAATAAGAGTCACTTTATGTAATTTAGAAATCACAGTAATATAACGAGATGGGCGACGAATTGTATTCCGCAGATTGGAGAAAATAGTTTCCGTTCTTTTATACTGTAGAATATTAATATAGAGTTGCCGATCTTGTTGGGATAATTAGAAACACTTTAAAAACTTATTCAAATTTTAAAAAAAAACATCATAAAATGTTTCTTTTAATTCAAAATGGTTTCGTTTTCAAACAAAATCAATAATCATTTAAAGATACAAAAGAAAAAATGTCTAAATTTTTGCTCTTTTACACGTCCTGATTTTCGACCCCTCTCTAGCGCCATTTTGAACGCAGAAATCAACAAACAAAAACTGATGTGCACAACTACAGTGTTTCTTCTTTTCAATTTCAATAATGTTCGTGCTCCAGCTATTATGGTCTCGGAGCTTTTGTCTGGAAACCAAAGCCCCTAATATTTCAATCAAAGGGAAATAACTCGTGAGCGGAAAGAAATTATTGAAATGTATTACAGTATTTTAAAAGCGTTTTGTAAAGTCTAACTGCTCTGAAAATTTGAACAAAATCCGTTTAGAAATGAGGAAAATCGGGAGTTTCAAAGTTAGCGTCTAGGAAAAAAAGAATAACTAAATGAGGTCTCGTTGCGAGCAACGAGTAGGTCTTCCGTTCGATTTTTCGATGAGATGTGATTTTGATTAAGTCTTCGTTAAAAGATAATGATATGAAGAATTCCCTCCTCAGATTTCATTCTTTTGATTTATATAACATAATCTTGAAGATCTTTCGTTCAATATTGCTTTTCAAAATATTTCCCCTTTTCGAGATATGAAATGTAAAAGATTTAGCATTCTGGCCACTTATGGCCCCTAATTACGCAATAGAGAATCAAAATTTCACAACATATTGTTGCATATTGTTACGTTAAGCATTTTTGCTTCAGTAATTTATAACAAATTCTTGATCATTAAAGAGTTGCATATTAGTTTTTTGGCCCCTCTGAGTCCCTAATTTGAAGGGTCAGCCCCTTTTTTTTCATCTTCGCTGGCCAAGGGTTTCTGATACGCTACTCTCCTCATAAGCCCTTGGCATACGGTGTTAAAAAAAGTTGGGATTTTTTTCTCAAGTTGTGATTGGAGTTGATCGACATCGTTCGACCAATCAGCAATTGTTTTCTGTAAATGACGATATTTGCGTTCGGGATATATCTTGACTCTTTAATATCGGGAATGAAAAACGCAAGTAAACAACGATCCGTAAGATAACATGTCATTCTATGAATAGCTATATGGTGTCATCCAATATCTTAAGCTACGTGCAAAATATGTGATTAAGAATCTATACTGAAGATGTAGATTTTCATTTTACATGTTTAAATAACAAATTAACATAACTAAATGCCTTCTTGTTAATTATTCTTTGAAAACATTATTTTTTAAATACGTTATTTATTTCTGTCGATTACGCAATCTGTGCATACCTGGTAAGAATGGTGATCACGTGACGAAAACAATCCCGTCTTTTGTCAGCACCGTATGCCAAGGGTTTATGAGGAGAGTAGCGTATCAGAAACCCTTGGCTAGCGAAGATGCTTTTTCTTGGTATCAAACGAAAAGACTTGTGATTTTAAACATTTTTTGTTCAACAACTATTCAGAAGTTTCTTCTCGTTTTCGAGATATGTAGAATAGAAATATTTAGGGGCCAACCCTTCAAGTCCTTAATGGGTCCGTTTTGCAAAAATTTAAAGAACGCATATTGTTCAGAACATTATTCTGAACATCTTTTGTTCAATATTGCTTATTAAAATATCTCCCCTTGTTGAGATATAAAGCGTCAAAGATTTAGCATTCTGGCCCCTTTTGGTCCCTTATTACGCACCATATGATCTTCATTTTATAATATATAGTGGCAAATCGTTAATATGAGCATTTTGCTTCAGTAATTGATAACAAAATATTGATAGTTAAAGAGTTATAGATGAAAGACTTTTGGCCCCTCTGAGTCCCTAATTTGAAGTGTCAGCCCCTTTTCTTGATATGAAATGAAAGGACTTGTAATTTTGAAGACTTTTTGTTCAACACCTATTCAAAAATTTCTTTTTGTTGTGGAGATATGCCGAATGGAAATATTTATGGGCCACCCCTCCAAGTCCTGAATGGGCCGTTTAACAAAAATTGAAGGGGTGCATATTTTTTAGAACTTTATTCTGACCATCTTTTGTTCATTATTGCTTATCAACACTGTCCAAAATTTTGTGAGACAATTTTTGAGCCCTACCGAGCTTCGGCGCCTTTTGCGCTAGAGAGCTTTGGACACCCATCTGCAAATCTTCAAACCTTCCTCTACCCTCACTGAAAATCTTGACACAATATCTTAAGTCGTTTCGGAGGAGTTTCGGAGGAGTTTCCAGGACAAGCCGACCCTCTGAAAATCAGAAAATCCCAAATATCTCAAGATGGAAAGTGACGTCATCAACGAAAAAAAAATTCCAATAAGGTTCAGATCAATACCTATCAGATATGAAAGTTTCATGAAAATCGGCTAAGCCGTTACAAAATCGGTAAGACT